CTCGGGGGGTTTTTTGGCACAATTCGAGAAATGCCCTTGACGAGTTTAACTTGTATGTTCTGCTCACCCTGGTCCTGGCGTCTTTTCAGATCCTCCAACGCTAGTATTTCAAGTTCTTTCTGTCTAAGTGTTAAGTCACACTTTATGTAGATTTGTTTGCCTTTGAGTTTAAGACGATTGCGAAGCACAGTCTGAACTTCATATGGTGATCCCAATACAGCTCGTATAGGGCATGCATTCTTTGAGTTGGGCTTGCCAGAGACACTCGACAAAGCGTAAATTGAGTGCCAATCAGTAGGTAGGAGTAGTAAATTATTAGCTTTACTCTGACGGTCATGAAGTTCAGTTAGCAAATCAATAGATGGAGTGGAAGGTGGTGGTGAAGTCGTTGAAAGAACCTGTTGGGTCGGTGTATTTGTGATAATGGATTCTGTTGATGCAATGATTTCGCGTTAACTTTTTTGTGGCCCTGTATAATAGAGGCATGCATTTTACGTTCCATATATCGCTCAAGGGTAGAAGCGCATCGCGCACTTCCTAGGAATACTAGCGAAAAAGCTAGAACGGTGCGTCAGTACCATCGACACGATTGATTTGGTCTGGTGCGAACAAACATTCATTCGGCGGTTTTTTCGCAAAAAATTTTTGCGACCGTGAAGTTTTTCTTCCAATTTCTCGCCGTTTAACAATTGATCGTGTGTTTAAGCCTACAAGGGGCGCCCCAAAGTTACAAGACCACAAAAGCCAAATTGGGTAAGCGACAAACAACCTTTTTGCATGACCTCACTTTATTTTTAAATTTTTCGTGTAATAAGGACGCAATATTCGCCATACAGTCCACTAATAATTCAACCGTATTAATTGCATCCCCAGATTCCTCAAGTAATTTTCAAGCTGCTCCACACGATCCGTTAGGCCCAGTATTCGCTTCACATTAGCCAAGCATAATTTGCAGTAGAATGGAAAAGCTTGTTTTGAAATAACTATGGCTCTTATTTCAGTTGGACCACTATAATGTCCCCACAAGTTTGGCATGGTACCTTTTTGCAGTGGTCGCAGGGATATCTGAATAGTTCGTTTTTCGATTTATTGGGTTCCTCAAAAATGACTGCTATTACAGTTGCTGCATGAACCTGACATTTTATTTTGGGTCATCTCAAAATGTTTGCAATCCCTTGACTTTATTGCGTTTTTTTTTTATTCACAAACGGACACTAAAGTAATATTTTCATTTGATTTTACAGAAGATAATGAAAAGAAAAAACTTTTAGAATTTTACTTGGTGTTTGTAAACAAAACCTAACCTGTTGCTTAAAATATTTCCTTCCATTTAACATTTATTTGGTTAGCGAAGTTCGTACAACTTCTATGTCACCTCCAATTTTGATCGTTTCACTTATAGGATTTTGATCATCACTTGGGGTCTTCTCCTATTTTTCAGTTTGATTCAGTTCTCAGTATCTATTCCGCGAATATCTCTTGTATTTTTCTTCTTTAGTATCGATTATCTTGGATTTTAAAATGACCCTCCTTTTGATAATTTAATCTTACATACTTTTGTTGTATCTTTGATCATGGAATACTCCGGCCGATGAGGAAAAACCCCGATTATACGGGATAAGTACCTAATTCACAGGTGTCTGTGATTATTCCTCTTTAAGTATTGCAAGGGAAAGACGTGCTTTGAAAACTGGTTTCACAGACTTCCATACCATAAAAAGGTGTCCCGATATAGAGGTGTTCTAGCACAGATCTGTCCCAGTATGTTAGCATTGGCATCAATAAATTATTTGATGATTATACAAAAGTCAAAGTTCAAGTTTCCAGATACATTTTCAAATGAAATCATTTAAATTATTTTTATTCTAATCTCAATGCATCCACAATTGATTCGCCTGCACTTGCCCTCTTCGAAGATGTTTGGGTGCACATTGCTCTCTATGGATTTGATGTTGTGGTTGGCTGCGTCTACGTTGCCCCAAACTCTGCTGTCGAAACATACCATGAATTCATGGACTGGGTTGAGGTACCTCGAAACAGGTATCGCAGAGCAGCGTTTTCGATAGTTAGGGACTCTTGGAGTCTTGAGGAATGCTTCCTTGCCCCAGCACAATCGAGAACCTTAGTTGAAGAAGCTTTCATTGAGTCAATGTATTACTTGGATATGCAACAGGTCAATCATGTTAAAAATTTGTTGGGCAGGATTTTTGACTACATACTAATTGACGACATCGAAACTTACTCAGTTGAACAAAGCAACCACCCTTTGGTCAAGTGCGAAGTGCGATCCTTACCATCCAGCTCTCGAGCTTACCTTTGACACCGGTGTGACGGTAATAGTGAGAGATCATGGCATTCAATTTTCATACATCTGACTACAACGCTCTGAATTCTCACTTTTCCGATATGGATTGGTATTTTATCGACGAACCTTCGAACCTTGATGAGATAGTGGAAAATTCCAAATTTCTATCGCATTGTTTATTCTGCCCTTGAGAGATTTGTGCCTAAACGCAGATAATAGGTTTCCGAAGCGGTATAGTAGTGATCCGCTAAAAAAACATTAGTTCCAAAAACAAGTACTACAAAAAATACAAATATTCCAGGAATCCTCACGATTATACGATCTATTCAAACCTGCGAAGAGAAGTGAAATATCAAATAGATCTTTGCTATGCCATCTTTATATCGAACATGGAGCATGTACTACCTACAAATATCAAGCACTTTTGGTCCTACGTCAACTCCGGAAAAAAGGACTCGGGCGTTCCAGCTACGCTTCAACATAATGGGCAAGTTTTCGCCAACAATCAAACCAATTCCGATACTTTTCCCACCCACTTTCAATCGTGCTACACAGGCTACAAAGGAGCCGATCCAGGAAGATTTCAACATACCCTTTGTCTCTACGCTATCCTCCTATGACTTCTTGGAAAATAATATCGAATCAAAGCTAAAGTAACTGAACAGTTCCAAAGGTCCAGGTCCTGATGGCATTTTCCCTCTGCTGCTTCAAAAATGTCACCGTTCCATGACTCTCTGTGTATATTATTTTCAAAGATCTTTCATCAGGGTTACTTTCCAGACTACTAGAAAAAATCAATTATTTTTCCAATTTTCAAATATGGCGACAAGAAAGATGTTCGCAACTACAGAGGAATTTCTCTATTATCAGCTATCCCCAAACTACTAGAGGCCAGAATTTCAGAGAAGATCTTCGAAGCATATAATCACCATATAATGGACGAGCAGCATGTTTTTTACCAGGGTCGATCTACAGCAACAGGCCTGGCCGTTTATCAAAACTACCTGGTCCATTCACTGGGAGTTGGTCACAGAGTCGACGTCGTTTTTACGGATATATCAAAGGCTTTCTATAGAGTCTGTCATCAGCTGCTCCTTATGAAGCTCTCCAGGATGGGCATTTCAAGCTCTATGAGGTGCTGGATTGAGTCGTACCTTAGCGAGTGCAGGCAGTATTGTACTGTGGGTGGGGCAGCATCCCGGGAAATTAAAGTCCTCTCAGGTGTTCCCCAGGAGTCACACATAGGCCCAATACTATTCCTCCTGTTCGTCAATGATGTGGCCAGCTGCTTCCACAACGCTCAGTTTTTTCTGTACGCCGATGACCTCCAACATTTCAAGGGGATTTAGACCGGCTTGTTGCATGATGCAGGAGCAATTTTTTTGGAATTGAACGTCAAGAAGTGTAAGTCAATGCAATTCTTCAAGAACTGGACTGCCCAGCCTTTTTGCTACACCATCGAAAACCAGATAATTGAACATGTTGGCGTTTACTATGATTTGGCAGTGATCTTTGACAGTAATTTAACTTTTGAGAAACATTGTGAAAATATTGTGAACAGAGGGTTTAGAATACTGGGCTTTGTGAAGTGTAACACAAATGATACTCAGATCCAGGCGCTTCACACGCTTTAGAACTGTCTGGTGCGCAGCATCCTTGAATACTGGAGCGTGATCTGGTCTCCTTTTTACAACTGTCACAAACAATGGATTGAGAGAGTTTAGGCAAAATTTGCTGAATACCTCCTGTACAAATATCTCTTTTCCTATGAAAACTTCGACCACAGACTCCTCCTGTGGCCTGAAATCATTGGAACAAAAACGGCGTGATCAGCTGCTATTGTTTCTTTAAAAGCTGGTCCAGGGGATAATAACCTGAAGTCCTCTGCTTTCCGAAATCAGTTTTCGTGTGCCAATTCGACAAACCAGGCAAACCCAGCTCTTTTTTGTGGCCACTCATCGAACAAATTATGGCTGGGGTTCATTTGTTGACCACATGGTGAGCAACTACAATCCCCACTACGCAGCAATCGACTTGTTCTCAGCTATTCTCCATACGCTGAGACGTTTGTTGTAGACATTCATTTTGGTTATTAATTTGTTTTATTTTGCTGTTCTCTATTCTTTGTGTTCATTGTTCTTATGGTTTGTGTTAGCTTATATGTGTTTTTAACATTGATTAACATGATTTTTGTTTCATGTACCTACAACGTTTTATTATTAATGCCATTTGGAGTTCAACTCTGTAGTGTACCACGCTCAATTAATGAATAAATACACATTTTCATCCGATAAATGTTCTAACAATCTATTTTCAGAGCGATCTACTATCTCTTCCAACTGACCTACAAATTGTAAATAAAAATACATTAAGTAAGCAATTTTTGAGATAAAAAAATATAATTCCATCCGTTAAATTACAAATTAGTCCCGTACTCTACCCTACAAATTACAATTTAATGTGACAATTTTTGAGCCAAATGAGCTCGTTTTAACACCCTTAAAACAAACGATATTTAAAGCCATCCAGATGATACTTTGTATTTTTATTCAACGCCATCGCTCGTAACATAAAACCACCCTTTTCAGCAACAGTCCCGAATCCCCTCCTATTTACCCCATTGACACTCGAATACCAAACAAGGCAAAAATATTTTTATATTAGAATAGGAGCTGTTTGGGAATTTAAACACAATTTCAAACATCGATACCAGTTTATTTCACAAGTATAATAGAATTAGTACATTTATCACACAGAAAAATAGATGATGAGTTAAGAAAAAATCGATCCATAATATAATATCACAGTCTTATTATAAATTACCTGAAACTGATTACATACCAATTTCGAAATCGGCAAAATCGTTACCCAACCACCCGATACAGATACAATAATGTTGGAAAAGTTGTATTAAAAGCTCTTGTTCATCTAAAAACTCGATTTTTTCGATCCGTGCTCGTTCAGCGGGCTCTATGGAATGATATACTTCCACCATATCCCAAGCTTTAGCACCCGACCAACCGTTATCGATAAATCTACTTTTTTGCGTATCTAAATTTTTACAATTCGATATACCAGCCAAATTGCATCCGCGAGCCCTCAAATTTCCCATCATTATGTCTCCAAAAGTGTCATTCATGTTGCACATTTCGTAATTTATAAAAAAACCTGTTGAAAAAGCTGACGACAGCCATTGAAGTAAACGATTAACCCATTCGCTTTCAATGTAAACTAAAACACATTCCGCAATAAAAAGTGTGGGTTTATCGAATTTGATTTCAGCTTGTTGCAATTTTTCTTTTATTTGTTGTATATTTCTTAAGTCTACACCTAAACAATGAAAGTTGCCAGAGTGCATATCAGTAGAACTAAATCTAACTTCACCGTCTTGCTCATAAATTCGATCCAATAAAGGCTTGTTGCGTTTGATTGTGTAACATTTTTTCGAAGTCACAGTAGGAAAATCCAATTCCACGTAGCCGGATATGACGATACCTTCATCTTTCAAACGCCAATACAAAGTATCGAAACCGGCACCGAAGTTGATAATTTGTGCGTTGCTGCCAGCTCGATTGATGAATTTTTGAATGAAATTATCGACGGCTTTTATTCGTGCGAAATACCCTCGGTTGATTTCCGGGGCTTTTCTTTCAATGTGCCTGACGAAATAGGGGATGTAATTGTCCGTCCAGTAGCCCAGTTGTACGGCGCCTCTTTTGCATTCGCTGGCGTCGTCGTTTGTTGCCATTACTGGTTCGTCACCCATTTTTTAACTGGAAAATTTAAAGCATTTTTGAATGTTTAAGAAGAATAAATTGAGTTATGTGTGTTGACTTGTTGAGGAAGATGTAACTAAGTACAGAAATATAATACAAGTGTGCGAGCAGGTGTCCTAGAAAAGTTTTAAAAACTCAAGTTGTATGTTGACACAAATTGGAACTCTTAAATAATGTCAGATTGGCAAGTTTGCAATCTCCTTGACATACTATACATGTAGAATGTCGAACGAGTTTTTATTTGTTTTGGCCAAGAATAGACTGGAAGACCCTTTCAGAGGGTCGGAATTGCCAGTGTGTCTAAACGTTCCGGAAATGTTTCGTTTCCAAGATATTATAGCCCTTTAAATGTGGAGTAATTGCAGTTACTAGGATAAGGGAATTTAAATGAAATTTCACAAGTGGTTGTTAAAGTATTATGATGCAAAAATTGAGTGAGTATATGGCTAGAAAATTATACATAGTTTTGTTTGGGGAAACGTATCTTTTATTTACCAATTTTAGAACTTAATTGGAACATAATTGGAACATAAAATTGGAAAATACATCGATATACATATTACATTGACTAAAACAAATAGCCACTTCTATATACAGGGTGACTTGAGAAAAACAGACAAGATAGAGACACATTTTGCAGGTAAATATATTTCAAAAACCAGACAAGATAGAGAGATGTTCTAGGAGAATAAGGATTTTTAAGCATTTTTTCTAAGAATTGCTAGATCCTTAAATTTGCTGAAACTCTGTGAAACTAAATTTGCGATTTTTTGAAATAAAATGATTGGATAGTTCCGCAAAAAAAAAAATCAAGAATCATAGAACTTATTTACATTGGCAGATATTCTATTAACAGGACATACCAAGTACCACAGTAAGGACAGTAAGGAATGTGTAGTGAAGATTCACTTCGTGTCCGATAACTTTGAGCGTGCAGATAAAAGCATCCAAGACATTCGTGGCTTTCTATGTAGTAGTTAAGGATATTAAAAGCAAAACAGATATCAAAGGATTCCCTTCTGCGAACAAAAGTAGTTAAGTCTAAGTAAGTCATAGTCTGGTCAACGCTGAGAATCACACCACTCAGAGACAGTTTGTACCTAGCAAACTTGATAAATTTGTGTTGAACACTCTCAAGCCTATTGATGTGGTTCTGATAGTAAGGTGACCAAACTATGCAAGAAAATTCGAGAACGGATCTGACCAGTCATGTGTAAAGAATCTTGATGGAGCGTATGCTTGTAAGATCCCTAGTAGCTCTCTTAATAAAACCCAACATTCTATTAGCCCTGTCAATTACCACTTCAAAATGCTTGGTGAACATTAACCTAGTATCTAGATACACACCAAGATCTTTGATGACAGAAACTTCAGACAAACGAACATCACCTAAGCAATACTGAAAGGGAACCTTACAGGTGAGCCTATTAATCATACAACAAGACATGAGGAACATATCTTGAGCCACACATTAAGCTGACACCAATCAAATGTTTAAGATCGTTTTGCAGAATAAGTAGGTATACTTTGTATGAACCCTCATGAAACGAACTTTATGTCTTGAGCTGACGTCACCTGATGATACAACTTCAAGCCATCAGCAAAGAGTAAAAAATTCGAGGAGAGCAACGTTCCTAAATCATTGATAAATAAGGTTAATAGAAGGGGGCCCAAGTGGGAGGGGGTACCCCAGAGGATGCATGGAAAAGAGAGGAAAGATAGCCATCGATTTTGACTTGTTGGATTCTGTAAGTAAGGTAAGATTTCATCCATGAAAGTAAGAATCCAGAACGACATAACTTGAGAACTTTGAAAGAAGGAGGTTATGGATTACCTTATCAAAGGCTTTACTGAAATGAGTATATATTGCATGAGTTTCTACATTGTTATCAAATGATGAATTTATAAAATTTCTAAAGAAAAACAGGCTCGTATCAACAGATCTACTGGCTGTAAACCCATGCTGTTGACTGATCACAATCTGATGAAATATTTTTGAAAGAATATTTTGAACGCACTGCTCAAATAATTAAGGGCCGAATTTATAGTTGTTCCTTGACTCTTAGTCCCCAGTACATCGACCCTAAAATTTTGTAACTCATGTACAGGCCAAACTTCCTGAGCGGCTTCATAACACCAAGTCGGACAATTTTGTTCATATCTTCAATCTGGGCGATGGGACATTGTCGTGCTAGCTCTTCGTGTGTCCGACCCCCCCCCCCCCACAACAGTCGATTAGAATTAAAATTACATATACATGTATCACCGTTCTCAGGGACATCAGAATGACAACTTCCCGAAGAGCTAGCGCAACAATGTCCCATCGCCCGAGTTGGAGATATGAACAAAATTGTCCGACTTGGTGCTATGAAGCTGCTCAGGAAGTTTGTCGTGTACATGAGTTACAAAATTTTAGGGTCGATGTACTGGGGACTACGAGGGGGACTATCTTCCTTGGAGGTCGTGAGTTTAGAATGGACACTTGCTAATATTTGACAAATTAGTCATGTCAATTCTTAACGTTCAAGGCTTCCTTAAGTTCTGAGGAAACCTCAAGGAGCTACTATAAATTCGGCCCTAAGGAATTGCAGACAGGATGCTGGTATACCTAGGTCTGTTATTTATTATATCATTCTTGCTGCCTGACTTGTGAATAGGACAAACATAAGAGAGCTTCCATATTTCTGGAAAAATTCCAGAGTTTAAGGATTTGTTAAAAATAATACATAGAGGAAGATACAAAGTGTTAGAACAAGATTTAAGCACTTTGTTAGGAATAGGGGCTGAAGGTATTCCTTGTTGATATCCACTTGCTTTAAAGTCCTCTCAATATCGGTTGGGTCTATTACAATGCTTGAAACATTCTCAAATCGATCAGCAAAAGTTCTGGCGTTGGAATTTCTCTGGGGGTTATAGACAGAGGAAAAATAAACACCAAAAAGATTAGCCATGTCAACACCGGTGGACGCTATTTCTGTCGCCATGATTGGATTGTGAATGAATAAAGTTCCAGAAGACTTTCACATTAGTGCCTATGGCCCTTTCAGTATCACTTATGAATAATGTGTAGCACTCCTTGGTGAAGTTTTTACTGTTCCTGTACTTATTACCTGTGACGAACCTTTTGAGTTAAACAGATAACATTGAAATTATTAAGGGCTCGATAGAGGGTTAAATATAAGTTTTCCAAAAATAAAAGAAGAGGGAAACGCTTCCTCCATGGCGTAAGTTCTTCGCTTTTGCTTCAAATGTTTTTTTGATACAATAACTAAATGCTGCACTAATTTGGATTTTTCCAAAAATACAGATAAAGTTAAAAATGAGCCCCTGTTCAGCCTTGTTGGAAAATCCTGTACACATGTGATAGGGACTACAATTTCTTGAGATTTTTTTTTGAGTAACAGATAGAAGTAAGTAGACGAAATTAAGGAGGAAAATGTATATTTCTAGTCCAGACTTTCCAACAACTTACATATACAATAATGGGTGAGATCTTAGGTATTACAGGTCTGTTCTCACAAGTGTCTTTGACAGTTTGTAAACTATCAAAAAGCATGGCCCATACATGTTTTCAATGCCGTCGTTCCAAGATAAATCAATAAGCTGAGCGATTAGTTCTGACGGTTTGCAAACTGTCAAAGACTTTTGTGAGAACAGACCAATGGAACAGACCTTACAAGTGCTGTGAAAACATTAATATTTTAGCTTATTGAAATTATTGTGTAATCTTCTTTTTAACCAACCAAGGGCTTTCAAAGTTTTTGTAATCAATAAGCTAAGATATTTGTTTAAAAAATTTTAGTACTTAGGTATAGTCTATCGATAGTCAAATGAGACAGTAAAAGAAATAATATTCCTTTGGCCGTCGGCGTTTTCTTTATGAAGCACGGGCGGAGTAAAAGAAATTTATTAAAACAGTTTTATATAAAATAAAACATGAAGCACGATACAACTCAAATAGGAATCAAATTTATAAAAACTATCTACTGCACTGTCTTTCCAGACGAAACTTATTAGCAAGCGGCGGCCGCTTCAAAGAAATATGCCGCCAAAAACGCCGCTAAAAAATCTAACCAATAAGATTCCTGGAGTCAACGTTGACTGTATAAAACAACGAGTAAAACAACCAATAAGATGCATTGTTCGCACGTGGATTCGCATCCAATGAATACGGGCACGCTCAATATATTTTTCCTAATAATAGTATAATAATTTTAACGGACAATACGATAATTTGAGGAGACCCCAATTTTTGCCTTGTCTCATTTGAGAAACGATAGACTATACCTGTCCGGTAGCCTGTAGGCGAGGGGTGGTTAACTTCTTGAAATACGTAGGTACACCAATTTTAAATCTTTATTGATTTTGTAAGATTTTGATGACTTTGAAAATCTTCATACGATTTTACAGGATTTTAGATTGTTTAGAAGATTTAAGGTTTTCAAAATTTTATGTGATTTTGGAGCATTTTAGGGGATTTTGAAAGGGTTTTAAAGATTCTAAAGAATTTTTGGAAATTTAAGCGGATTTTTGGGGATTCTAAAGGATTTTTGGAAACTTGAAGGATTTTTGAAAATGTTGAAAGATCTGCTGTCGCCATTATAATATTGTAAGCTGGATTAGTCGGTTACTCTAAGCGTTCCGGAACCATTCTTGGGACGGTTTGGAACAGACCCAAATATATTGTATATTACAGTCTCGATTACAGTTTACAGCTTGGTTTACAGTAAGAGTATTCAAAAGCTAAAGATTTAGGTATACTGTTTTTTCCTAAAGTTTTTCCAAATACTTATAATTTTTTCTCTAATTTTTTCAAAGCTTTAAATTCTTTATCAATTTTCGCATTTTCAAGTATACGGAAAGGTTCATTACCAGATAATTCTATTGGTCCCTAAAACAAAAACACATATTTTTCACTTGATTTTCCATTAACTTCTCGAATATCCTAATTTTTTTGTTCGGCCAGGTGTATTGGTCTAAAATTGTTATTTTAGAGATTTGATAACAATCTTCTCTTTCATAGAAACTATGCGTCCCCCAAAAACCAATTTTCTTTGTAAAAAAAAAACCGCATAATAATACTCAAGTTGCCTCATCTTGAAATTTGAAGTTACGTCCTCCAGCAGCAGTAGACTTATGAAATAAACAAAACTAATTTCCAATTTTCTTTCGTGTAAAACCCTTTTTCCTGGCAACTTGAGTTGAATTGGGGAGTCACCTTCATTTAAACACCCTGTAGGAATGAAGAAAATAATGGAAGGAATAAAAATAATTAATCAAGTACCTTATTAGTTGAACTCGGCCTTTTGAATTTTTTTTTTTTTTTTTCATCAAATTTTGCCAGAATAATACTTATTCTGTGAAATTGCTTTTCACACTGAGTTACTTGATTATCTTTTGCATTCTACAAAAATTAGCAACTTAATCAATAGGTATCTCAAAATATTCATGAGATAGATAGGGCAAATGTGATATTTTCTGAAAGAGAACATTTTCAGCTTTTCGATAGAAAAATAATATACAGAATGTTGCATTTGAAAAACTCAATTGAAATTTACTTGAAAATTGACGTGTTTAGACACATATTTTGGACACCCTGTATACTTAAATCGAAAAATGAAGATAATGTAGGGGCACCTAGGCTAACATTAGATTACATGTAATTTTTTAAGGGAAATTAGTGTATAGTGGCGGGTCATTTCAAAAAAGTAAGTTTTGGTCTATTTTTTTCTTCGAAAAATCATAACTTGGCAACACTGCATTCAACCCAAATACGATTTTAAAGTTGAATATAGAACACATAGAGGCTTCATTTGCCACATAAAAATATACGGTATTCAATTTAAAAAAAAAAACATAAAATTTGTGATTACTCTTTTTTGAGACACCCTGTATACTTGAAAATAATTTTGGATTATAGCAGAGATGAAATGCTGAAACTTTTATAAAGGACATTTTTCCATAAGTTCAACAGTTTGGCTACTATTGACCGAGGCACGCTTGTTGTACAGTGGGAATCATTGCAATTCACACACATTATATAAATATCCCTCGTAATGTGTCAAATCTGACACACAGTAATAGCAAAATGCTGCACTAAATAGATTTATTGGTTAGAATTTTGACTTAATACGAGGGATTTAAAAGAGTGTGTGCCAATTGCAATGATTCCCACTGTACTACCCTGTATAAGATAATCCTATTGGTCAGCGAATAAATGACCTACCCCGAGACCTACCCATAGGATTATAAATGGCATGTTTATCCGCCAGATTGCATTACCTGACAGTTTATTAGAAGGCATGGTTGGCAAACAATTTTCTCTACTCATTGGTTTTTGGATGGATATTTCCATATAAATTACCACAAATAACCACCATAAATCCTACCAGAATATTGTACCAAACATACTCCTTTTACAGAGATAAAATTAAAATAAAATTCTGAAACCCATAACTAATGCTCTTGAAACGCAGGAAGCTATCAGAAATTTCTCAAATCTTTTTCAGCGTTCTTTGATACTTTTAATAGAAATTCTTACATCTGAATGTGTTTTAGAGTGTTCTACTTAATATGTTCATGAAAATTTGAAGCTAGTTCTAAGGTGTCATGTAACGATTTTCAAGACATACAGTAAATTCAAATTCGAAAAAAAGTGAATTCAAATTCGGAAAAGGTAAATTCAAATTCGGAAAAGGTAAATTCAAATTCGGAAAAAGTAATAAGCTCGGTAATAAGTAAACATAGTCACATATCTACTTAGAAAATCTAGCCGATATCGCTATTGGATGAATTAATGCTGGAATTTGTGTCCGATCATATAACCATGTCTAAACTAGTCCAGAGGCATTATCCTGCAGTTATGAGACTGGATGATTATGATATTTAGGAGTACCTACATGTAATTTTTTTAATATTTGTGTATACATAGTTTTTGATAATGTTATTTTTCTATGTAACTAACTAATTTTTTGTTTAAATAATACTTATCACTTTTTCCGTGGTCCAAAAGTTTTTCAAAATGTTGCCGAAAGTTCAGAAGTGTTCTAGAATGTCTCTCAAATTCCAAATTGGTTCTAAAGTTTTCTATAAGGTTTTACATATGTTTTGAAAGATTCCAATTTGTCTGAAACAAGTGCAGGAGGATTGGAAATTGAATTGAAAATCTTCTGAAGCTTATCAAAGTTCTAAATTGCTCTAGAGTTATCTTAAAATGCTTAAAAATGTTCTAACTTGGTTGAAAATGTTATAAGTTGGTTCCCTAATGATTTTGAAGCGCTGGAATGTTTTAGAAGTTATCAGAAATATTCCAAATGGTGTTTTATATATCAAAAACACAAATATCAGCCAAAAACATCAAAAATCTAATTCTTCATCTACTATAATGCAATTAGCCGGATTTTTTCCAACCCTGTTAGAAGGTAAATAAACCTGGCCTAAAACGGGTAAAGAGCATGTTGTAGGGATGTATGAAAAGAACATATACTTTAGCCTTCATTTCTCATAAAAATGCAAAACCTACTAGTAAAAATACAAATTATACTAAAGAAAAAAGAAATCTATCACTGCGGTAAAAATAAATTACTTATTGGTGCAATGATTTCAACCCTTGGAATTTGCACAAAACTACAAATTTCAGTGAAAACAGGCCAGATGATGATGAATTAAGGTATATTTCATGCAGTTATGAAATACTAATATTTTCAGAGCAAAAACAAGTCCAAGGCTTCTATTTTCCATTGAAATATCAGCCAAAAATAAGCAAAAAAGTAGGTAGTGCAACCTGTATGTTCTATTATAACATAAAATATATATTTTTTAATACTCACAATTGATTAAAATAGTTGTGCTTTACTTTGGAACAAACTAAATGTACTTTGGATAGTTAAATTCCTGCAAATAACAATAATTTCAAATTTATTTATTGATAAATAAATATTTAGAAAAATCGCAAACGCAAATCGGGAAACTGTCAAAAATGTCAAATGTAATTTGACTTTTCAATGACTTTAACCAAATGCAACGTTGCCAAATGCGTTTTCAATTATTCTATTGATCTAATAATTAGCAGAATATTTGAAAATTTACCTTTTAAATAATCGAAACCGGAACACGGGCGGATTTAAATTAGCGTTAACTAGCGACAAAACCTGAATAAAGTCTGAGCCAAAGCCAGGCCAGGGCGACGTTGTCGTTTTTTTTTTAGATCCTGGCCGAAATGCGATCCGATCGTTAGGCAACACACCGAGCAGGCGCGTGAAATGTGGGTTAACGAAAACTGAAGGTCGATATCGATAAATTTGAAATAAAAGGCGCGTCTTTTTTATTTTTCAAAATTTTGTTTCCAAATACTTAAATATAAGTTAAATAATGCATAATGATTGTTTTATTTATCTTATAAGATAATAATTTGCTATATGCAACAATTAGACATTAAATAATGGGGCTGCCCTAATGAATGATACAATAACCACTATTAATGGGCCCTTATTAATAGTTTTCCCCCTTAAAAATAGAAAAAAACAATTAGGTTTTCTTTTATATCCACTGCCTTTTGTCCGTCGTTAGAATTTTCTTTTGGCTTTCGTCCAGAATAAAATATCTGTAAATTTGCGGCGCCGAATAGCCTGTCTGCTCTCGAAGTTCGAAGTATCATTTTTACTCAATGTGAGCCGGTATTACCGAGTAAAATGTGTTTTACTGCCCTTGGGGGTTGGAAAGAAATTTGAAAAGATAGAGATTCTCGAGAGTTTTTAATTTTTAATAATAGGACATACAGTCATACAACAGCGGAAAAATAAGAAAGTTTATCTATCAATAAGCTATGATGGGCCTCAAACAGAAAAAGATGAAAGATACATCGATTTTATTAATGTCATAAACAGCAAAAGTCTTTCAATTGAAAAAATTTGAGGAAAAATTAGCAATTTTAAATTTCATCAGGCTTTTCAACTTTCCTCATTTCTTTATTTCCAGGCTCTTGAATTTTCTCTATTTCTAATCTCAGGCTCATGAATTTTAATTTTTCCGAGAGGTTGCCAATCAGATTCCTAAATTTTGGTTTTTTTATTATTTTTTTTCCTTGCCCTCCTTATTATTGGGTTTTTCGTTTTTATTCTGAAAGGAATTTTCTGTAAGTCTGATGCACGTACACATATCGTCGCTGATCTGTCAAAGGGGCGTAACGGTCAATTATTCCGTATTGGAGTTAGGGTCGCCGAGTGATTTCTTAGAGTTGTATGTATGATCTGACAAGAGGGCGTATGCTCAAAGGTATTACTTCTCTCCATACATAAAATCAGCTAAAGGCGTAAGTATACAGCAATTGCATATAGGATCTGACTAAAAGGCGTATATCCAAATATTAGACTTACGTCATTTAGTTAGATCCTACATTGCGTCTTTTCGGAAACATATTTCTTTAATAAACGCGATTGATGAAAAATCGAATCAGCGTTTCCGAAACTTTCTCTCTCAAAAGAAATACCCTAAATGCAATGACACAGCCTTTACAAAAATGTAGTCCCTATAGTGTGGTCAAATTGGCAGTTGGGTTGAAACAAATTAATAAAGAAAAGGGTTTTTTACCGAAAATGTCTTGTTTTCATGGTCATTAATGATATGCTAAAAGTTCCATAAAGTCGAAAATAAAATATTGCAATGCAAATTAAAAAAAAATTGCTATAATTTTTAGTTGGAAACCTAAAATAATTTCTTCAAAAAAAAAACTACATATAATTAGATGTTATTCTTCATTTTTGTGCGAATAGGAAACAGCTAACAGATTCAATGATTCTTTAGAATGCAAATTTACATGACAGATTCTCAAAAATGACAACCAACTCAGCAGACATTTTTGAGGATGAGAAACTATACAATAAATTCACCAGAAATTCTTGAAAATGAGAAACCAAACAACAGAGATCTCCAAGAAAGAAAAACAGCTCAACAAATATTTTTGCAAATGAAAAACAAACTAGCCAAATTCAACAGGGATTTTGATTCTTTGCGATTGGGAAATTACGGCAGATTCAACAGAGATTCTTCAGGATAAAAAACTGATGAAAGATTCTCAAAGAATGACAATCAGTTCAATAGACGTATCTTTGAGATAAGAAACCACACAATAAATTCACCAGAAATTCTTGAGAATGAGAAAATATTCAACCGAAATATTTGGAAATCATAAACCAAACAACAAATCTACCAAAAATTCTTGGGAATGAGAAACATCCTGAGGAAACATCCAACGGCATATTTTTACAAATTCAAAAGAAACTAACCAGATTCAACAGAGATTTTTATTCCTTAGGAATCGGGAACTACAACAGATTCAACAGATGAGATTCTTCAGAATGAAAAACCGAGTGAAAAACTAATAACAGATTCTGAAGAATTCGATCAAAACAGACATCTTCGAGAATGAGAAACCACACCAATTAATTCACCAGAGATTCTTGCGAATGAGAAAACATTCAACCGAAATTTTTGACAATCAGAAACCAAACAACAAATCTACCAAAGAATCTTGAGAATGAGAAACATTCAACAGAGATCTTTAAAAATGAAAAACAGTGTATTATTAGGGACACTTGTCTCTTCAAATTTCTACCATTAAGCATTTGTCTTCAATTTGTTCCACCTTACTCCCCAAAATCTGCTAATCTTACTACACTACCAATTAAACTCAAATTCGGAAAGTATGAATGTCTTATGGATCTTTGTAAAGGACCAGCACCACTAGTGAAAGACCCAAATTTCCTAAAATATTTTAGGGATCTTCCTCACGAAAACTAGTGTTTTAGTTATTTGAATAGGTACCTACTTATTTAAAACCTTTGTTTCCGTATGCTCAAAATCGAGAAACATTCTCTAGCGACAAAATGGTTGAGGGTATCAAAAGGCGGTTTGCAGTGTTTGAATCAATCAAGATTTCATGAAATTTGAGCCTCAGCAGAGTGGCGGGTTCATTTTTTTGTATCTGGCTCGGAAATTGACGTTTCATATCAAAAGTGTCCAAATTGGACCACCCTGTACCTATACATTCTTACTTATTCTTACGTATAAGTAACGTAAAAATAAGTTTTCAAAACATCATTGTTGATAATTCTAAGCCTGCGCCCCCCCCCCCCCCCCTGAAGAAAATCCTGCATCCGCCACTGATCTCAAACACATGAATTTCAATTTTTCTTGTAGTATTCCCAGGTTTCCATTTGGAATCTTGAATTTCCGTTTTCTATTTTTTTTTTTTTTTTTGTCTGTCTGTCTGGCATCCCTTTCGAGCAGACATGGGCCGTACAGAGAATCACAAAATATGAATTGTGATAGAACCAGACTGTCACATAACGATTTCCTGAGATTAGCATTCAAGAGGCGTCTCTCATTGAAAATGACCTTCAGCTTAGCGAATGCCTTTCTAATACAATTATTAATATGTTCTGTAAACCTAAGGTTAACATCAAGTAAAAGTCCACGGTTTCTAGCTTCCGCTGAGCAACTCAAAGCCTGACCATCAAGGCTGATTCGAAGCATGTCCTGGCATTGAGATCGACTTTGCGCACGTCCAAAGAGCAAAACCTGACACTTTTTAGGATTAAGCAGGAAACAGTGATTAATTGAGACCCTCAGCAGCCGGTCTAGGTCCGCATTTATTTTATCGTTTGCTTTTGATTTTCTCTATTTTTAATTTCAAGTCATACATTTTTATTATTTTTGTATTCATGGGTCCTTGAATTTTCTTTTTTTTTTTTCATCACTGGCCCTGCTCCTTACATTATTCTTTCAGTGCGAATTTTTTGCTGGCTGTTTTCAAATAGAAAAAAAAACAACCAAAATGTAAAAGCCTGGGAATAGAGGTTGAAAGAAAAATAATGAGAAATAAAAGGGGAACAATTTGACGGAAGGCAAAAAAATCTGCTTTTTTATCTATTTATCCACTGAATGTGTTCAAAACTATGTATGGTTGCTTTCAGTTGAAGTTTCTGTCTGGTTCTAAATACCTACCTATGCACTGTAATGTACCATCCCCCACAGACTAAAAATGCTAAATTTGTGGACTATTTTTCATATTATCTAGACCAAATATGTGATAATGGCAAAATGAACATTATTATGGGAGATTTTAATTGTAAACTGTCCTACACGAATTACGGATAAAAGTAAGTTATATTATCACAAATAAAAAACACCTCCCGTACAAAGTTCATCTAACACCAAAGATCAGCCACCACAGTATATTATCCATACAAATAGGAAATATAAACGAAAATGATCCAGTGGAAATTGTTTATAGAAGATCTATGAAGAACTAGTACTGAAATATTGCAGGGTTGCCTTATGGAAACACCTTGGAATGATAACACCACTGATGTAAATATTCTGGCAAGTTTGTTTATAGACACTATTCCTGATATTTTGAATCAAATGTGTCCAAAGCTGAGAATTAGTTATCATCTGAAATATCAGGACAAGAAATGGATAACTCCAGAAATTAAAAGGATGATGAACAATAGGGACAGACAACAAGAGCAGTATTGGAACAAAATGATGGTTTATGGAATGAATATAAGCAGAAAAGAAATGAGATTGTAAGCTGCATCAAATTTGAAAAGGATAGGTACTTTATAGAGACTATTGATAATAACAGATCTAACTCCAGAGAATTGTGGAAAACTCTGAAAACGCTACTGTCAAATAAAGAAAGTCGTCCTCCTGGTGAAATTTATTTTGACCAAAAAATTGTAAAGGATGAATCAAATAATTTAGCCAATGAATTTAACAATTATTTGGTCAGTTGTGTCAATGATATTGTGAACAACATCCCAAGATTGTCTATTGTTAGTGATGTGTCGGTGACATGTCGGAGATATGAAGATTTTTCCCAATTTGCCACTATATCTATGTCAGATATGAAAAAACTTTTAAAGGATATGAAGAACGTCGGAGGGGATGAAACTGAAATCTCCAAGGCAATATTGAGTGATGCTTGCGCAGTTGTGGGAAATCGTCTTTTGGATGTTATCAAAACATCATTGGCAAGGGGTGAATTCCCCGATGCTTGGAGGGTGTCAGTGGTGATTCCAGTGCAAAAGATTCCAAACACAAAGATCTCTACGGAATTCCGGCCAATTAA